TAATATTTGAAGTCAAAATAGTCCGTCCTTTTGGGGGTAACACGTCACTTATAAAGTTTTGACATCGTCTACTTTCAAACATGCCGTCTGAAATTAAAAACGCGAAGTACAATTACAGTTTTCCATTCTTGTTATAAGGGACGGCATTGAAGAGAATGCATTCGTTTTGATCATAAAATATATTGAACGGGGATTAGTATGAAAGCAATTTTATATAGAAATCACAGACAGAAAAAAATTTATACAATATATATATATATATATATATATATATATTAAAAGAAAATTTACTTCTTAGAAATCCAAAACAAAAAAAAAAAAGGAAAGAGATATAGAAAATGAAAAAAAAAATAAAAAAATTGTAGCCGATGGATTGCGGATTACGAGTGGAGCACAAAAAACGAAAATCCATTTATCCATTTTATAAACTTCAACTTGAGTGGGTAATAAAGTTAATTAGAAAACTGACATGGCAACTAATTTTATAATAATTAATAATACTATAAATTTATATATATATATATATGTATAGTCCATTTGCATACTCATTAAATACTTGTATGCATACATATCTGACTAATTATGAGTAGAAAAAAAAAAAAAAAAAGCATAAATAATAAATAGCTAAAGCACCTGATGCTATTTAAGTGGATTATATCTTTATAGATATTAAATGTATAAAATACATTTTAATTCCTTTCTATTTAGCTTTAAATTATTATTAAAGTAATACTCGATCAATTTGAATAATATTTTGTCAAAGCACATGTCATATAAATCTTGGGATACGTAGATAACGCCGCCATTACAATACTTCCTAAATATAATTAAAAGATTCGATGCCTATTTATGATATATTATGTCAGTCGCAATTCGCATTCTATTCGGTACATGAAACTTTTCCGTGAAATATTGTGATGATATCGCTGTTGGTTTTCGTTCGTTATGAATTTGAATAAAATTTTCTTAAGTATAATGTTTTCCTATCCCATCTGATCGTGTCTAATGCATATCTTTATCTCCGATTTTTGCACGATCATCATACAATTTTCGCATTGAGACCATTCATGCTACCCGCTTAAAGTATTAATTTGAAGCTACGCCCTCCATCTACGTAACAGCTTACATTTACATTACATTCGCATAATTACAACGGCCTTTATAAAGAAAATTGTAAATTTAGATATAGCATCACTTGTTAAAATTAAAAAAAAAAAAAAAAAAACCACTATACTGCAAGAGATTTTAGTTCAACATCCGCATTACACCTACGTTGCAAATAAATAAATTGTTTGTTATTTGAAGTGAATTTTATTTACCGACCATTTCAGAGTAATAACATCCATCAATCCACTATCAATTGCAACTATTTTCATTTATCATTTATAGGTGGCTCGAGGAACCAATTACTCCACATTCCGCATTGGTGTCATTCTCAAGTTTCAAAATTTTCGGTTATATTTTTCTGTCCAGCTTCAGTTTTGTATCAATTCAATCTACGCAATGCCTCTAAATGGCTAAGTGATTTCAAGTGTTTATTTGTTTGAGTTGCTAAACTGTGTGTGTTTTTTTCCTAAGGACTACCCGGCTATGGAAAGTGGTTCGGATCGGAGAGCTTTTTCGATTGCATCTTATTTTGAAAAATTCGTTAGAGTTTTTATTATATTATGTATTAAGCGAATTTGGGTACGGTGTTTAATGCTGCATCGTATCTCACTATACTATGTTTTTACTTGTTTCATTTACGAAAATGTATGATTGATGAGATATTAACAATTCTTATAACTAAGAAATTTGAATTTTATATTTGCTTAACTTCCCTTATCAATTGGATTACGTTGAATGATGAATGGTACCCAGTACAGATATATATACATATTTCATTTTTAAGTATGTGTTAAATTGTAGAGATGTCGCAAACGTGTTTATCTGCCCGCCCCAGCTACTCATCATCGGAATTTTTGGGAATTTTCATAGTAAAGCAAATGGATTTTAAAAGCAAGCTTTGTTAGCTACTTTTGACTTCAAAAAGAAGAAGAAGAAGAAGAAGAAATGAATCGGAAAATGAAAGGCGAAAATTGTATTTACTATAAAGTGTAGTAAACATTGGACTGAGTTTTGTCGAAGCGAAAACAAAAACCAAACTGTTACCAATTAGCACAAAAATCAAACAATTTTCACATATCTATATATGCATTAAATGATTGTTATTCGATTGTTATTCGGTCTAATTTAAAGCTTATTCTTTTTCTCAGGAGAAACGTACAATAATAATAATTTTGATTACGATATGATAGAATTAATATCCATTAGATATATAATGTCTAATATTTTGTTGAGTTTAAATTGTCACACACACACACACACACACACACACACACACAGATACATACACACACAAAATTACCTTTCTTGAAGCGGCAAAGTGCTTAGCTCGGGCACCGTGCACCAATGTTGATCTGGTATTAGTGTTAAAAATATTTGCGAGAAATAAACAAATGCCACGAAGAAAGCGAACGGTATCATGCAGAGAAACAATAATTTTTGATAGCGTCCAAATTCACCGATCAATGGCAAAATGTCATCGAAATCCATTAGCTGAGAGTTAATGGTGTTATTACCGCCACCGGCACCGCCACCGCCGGCAGCATTGCCACCATTATTATTCCCGTTACCAGTACCGTCCACTACGGTTTGCGCCTCCAATTGTAAATTATTGGCGTTACCGCTTTTTCGTCGTATAATCGAAGTCGTATTATATTCGCCATCGGTAACAAAGGCCGCATTCGTGAAACCTTTAATATCCTTCGCGCGACCCTGATTGTTATTATTATTATTATTCATTTTCACTTGTATGAGTTTACTGTTTACTTTATTAAATTTTGTTTTATTATTTTTATTTTGTTTTATTTATTCATTTATTTATTTTTCTAATCAAGTTTTCTTCACGTTTGCACACACGCAAACACACACACACACATATACAATGAAGAACAATAACCACAACTTTATTTAGGAAAGTTTTTATTTTAATTTTTTTGTTTTTATTTTAATTTAAATTTAAATTTAAATTTTTGTTTTTGTTTTTTTTAACAATTATTCATTAATAACCTTAAAATTTAAATTTGTGTTTATACGTTAGAGCTTAGCTTTTGAAATCGTAATTGTTAGGCTTATCGTACAATATATTAGCTCTCATCTCATACAATTTCTCTTACATTATCAATATATTATTGTAATATATTATTAAATAATTCTATGACGATTGCTGTTGAAAGACTGAATCAAATATTGTCTTGCGAAACGATTTTATAGGTTTCATGAACTGCTATATAAAAAGAATTCTATATGTTAAGCGACATCATTCAAAACTCATTTAATGAGCGTAACTAACACCGACTACGCTTGTACTTGAACATATGTGCAAATATTAATGTTTGTGTGCGCGCGCGCTTATTATCTGCCTTAGCCGCCAAGAATGTTGACTTTAAATATATACATTGTTGTAAGAAGCGAGGAAAACCGGTTTTTTTGAATAGACACAAAATTCTCTAAATTACAAATGTAAAGGTAAACTAATTTTAAATAGATTCTCTTATCGTAAACATCATAAAAAACAAAAAAAAAACAAAAAAAAAAAAAAATAAATAACAAAAATAATACTAAAATACAGCAAAGCAAAAATTTTAGGATTCATTCTCAACCCGAAATTTTGAAAACAAACATAACAACAAACACATTACACGTTAACAAAGAAGGTGCTGCACTCATGCGCGCCTTGCATCCCCTTTAAGTACTTTGCAATACTTGTGCATTTAAAAATGTTTTATGTATAGGTTCTTTACGTTGCTTGCCTTTGTCTCAATATACGCAATGAAAACAAAAACTTTCAACTCAGTTCATGTTCTGCTGTTTATGCAGTAATTACTGGGGAATAACAAAAAAAAAAAAAAAATAAATAAAAAAAAAAAAGTAAAAAATTTTATTAAGTTCAGTTGTAACTCTGTGCCTTTTTTTTTTACATATATAATAAATGTTGATCAGACTTTTCCTATTCTTATAGTTGGTATGAATGGATTCCGTTGACATTGCTTTCAGAGTATTTCTTATAGCTTATAGCTCATTCTAATTTAACTTCTATTTGTTTCTGCATTTTTCGGTTACAGAACTACTCTAAACTTTATCAAAGGTTAAAACTTGAGCACATGCACACTTCTCATCTTCCTTTTTTTAAGTCCCCTTGAAATGATTAACTAACGGAAACAGGTAGAAGAAGAGTGCACAGAAATTTGATAGATTAGACAAAACTTTGTCTGTCAATCATATGAAAATTATTATAAAGAACTGATTGGAATTGATTAGACGATCGCCTAAAAAGCATTACAGAAACAAAATTCCAACCCTAGCCGGAAGTCCGATCTTTTGGGCGAGAAATGATATCGTGCTACTGTTAATATTTTGATAAAAAAAATATCGAGAAAAAATAAAACTGTTTGATTGACTCTTTGGCACGTGTCGTGTTAAACCTATAGCCTAGTTAGGTATAGGTTATATTTCAATATTTAAAAATAATTCTTATAATTCCTCGTCAGCAATGCCAAGTAAAGTTCTATAATTATATTCACTTCAATATCTTCCGTATCAAATACTTCGTTAAAGATAGGCGCCATCAGTTGATCAATCAGAAGATTTCTTACGCTAATTTTTAGGAAATAATTGCCGAGGGCTGTAGATTTCTTACAGATCGCAAGCTATCTGAGTTAGAAATTGCAATTTCTTGCCTATTGTGGTTGTGGGTGTGCGCGGGTCACAACAATTTTCAAAGCTGCTTCGTGGCCATCAATTCACTTGCATGCTTCACTTTTTCAATTCAATTCTTGTTATCATGAATATTCTGAAAATAGGCGACAAAGAGACGAGCAGTTAAACGGCGATCGATCGAGAAAAACTTATGCTAATCAGGAATATGACGCGTGTATATTTTTTTATTTTATTGCAACTTAATTCTATTATTATTAATTTAGCCAGAGAATACATTGAAAGACTAAAGTCTTAAAGCACTAGCATCTAAAGGCTTTCGGCTCTACCGTACTTGAGATTTGAACCCACGACCATTGAGTTGCTAATCAACACTCTTGCCTGAGTGGCCTAATTCCATTTTCCTTATTCAGATCACATAATCAAGATTGAAGAAAGTTGGTTAAATTGGCATCACCCACACAATTAAGAAAATAATCACCAATTTCGGGCAAATAACATCCGATGTGTGATTTGTCTTTCGCTAGTGTAAATGCGTTATATGCTGCATGATGTGCGCGATGTATGATCTTTGTGCTATGATACGCCGGTGAACAGTGACACAAAGTAAACGCTCGTTAAAACTGGTCCATTGTCTAAACATAAAAATTATTTTTTAATGTTTTTAAATGTATTAAAATATGAAAAAAAAAAAAACAAACCAAAGAATATTCCAGTTGACAAGAAAATGAAATAACTTTGTCACTAAAATTATTATTATTATTTTTTTTTTTTCATGTAACAATATTTGGTGGGGAATTTTTTATTTTGCTTCCTTATCCTCGAAATCGTTATCGTAGTAGAATTTAAAATGTGTGCAATACAGGAACCTTATCCGCATTTTCTTTTAAATTTTCCCATCAATATCCCTAAGTAATCCTTCTTGCTTGGAATGCGATCTATAAACATCGGTGTTCTGATTCCATTGACTCCAATACATACCCAAACTGTAACATAAACCATTGCCATGCTCGCTGTAAGCCGTTGTTACCAGAACATAATAGGAAGCTAAGATAGGGAAAACACGTTTCTAAATTCATTAGTCATTCCACTTAGAATTGAGCGTTTACTCTGGCAAATTCTAGTCTTATTAAAATTAAACTGCATATCGAATGAATGGATCTTCTTTCGCTTTATCTATATGTCTATGAATTCACATAAATTTAGTTTTTGTATTGATTTTCATTCTTATTCTTTTTCTCCAATTTTTTTGCAGATCCTTCTCTCCTCCCTACATTAGTTAGTTATACACGAGACAAGTGCTAGAAATAATTGCATAATTTAAAGTAGAAATTTATTTATAAATTTTATAAATTAAAATAGATTCATTAGTTCATTATGAAAAGGTCTCTAAACTCTCGATGACATGTCTACTGATTATGTCAAGACGTTCGCAGCAACAAGCAGAAAGGTTCGGACACCGTGCCACTGACCGTCTGTGATAAACGTTTTTCGCATCGCAAAAATCCACCTGTCCGTTTCAAATGTGGCACAAGTATTGGAACGCCTGGCGTACAGGTCGGTATTGTTAATGTGATAGCGTACTGTGAACTTTCCCTTTTTTTCGGAAAGGAAAATAAAAATGGATTTTTCGCTAATTAATTGTGCAAGTAATTGTACAGCGTATGCGTATAAAAATGGATAAAGATTGCCACGCCCGCCCAATATTGTAGAGAAATATATATAGAAACTTTTTTTTTTCTTCGAATATTTTATTTCTTTAAGATAAAGGACGCGATAATAACTGAATATAATTTGTTTTCATGGTTTATGGTAATTTTATTATTGATTCGTTATTAGCTAGTAACGACTACATAAACACTTGGTGGTAAAAAAAAAAAAGAGTAGAATTTCTTTAGAGTAATATCATTTAAGATAAAGCAAAAGGATAAAAGAATAAATGAAAATAAAATAGAAGAAAAATAGAGAGGATAGAAATGGAAGATAGCCTGGGAACTAAGGCAGAGCATAAAAAGTAATAATTATTGCTCTTTGAGTGTGAGAGAAGATGAAACGAGTTTACACTTGCCTTGGTAACTATATAGACAACCATAACGGAAAAATTTTGTCTGCCACTATAGGGGCAATGTTAAAATCGAAGTCATTTATTAAGAGTTATAAGAACTCATCACCATTGATAAGCTCGAATTTAGAAGGGTCGATTTCTTTCTTCTAAAGCAGAGAAAATTAATAAAGCTGAAGCTCTTGTCATGTGAAGACTATGGACTGCAACAACACCGCAAAGCAAAACAAGCAAGCTATCGACTTGGACTCAGAATGTTTTGACTGAACTTTTGGTTACGTATGAAATATCAGATGCCTTTGGTTCTTACTTTTATTAAATCGGGGCGAGACTGACAATAGTTCTCCGTCAATTTATTATCTAGTATCACTCCATGATCGCTGAACTATAATGCAGATCTTGTTATTTAACTATTAATATTTAGTTTAAAAAAATGGAGTCATTTTTGACCTATGGACTCATTTTACACCAATTATTTCGTCGTTATGGATAATTCAGTGCTTTCACGCACCATTCTGCCAAAGACATCAAATCGGATTTAATGTTACATAAATAAAGAGAGAGAGAGAGAGAGTCATCAGCATAAATAAATAATCGCTGAACCGTTGCCATCGAACATGAAAAATAGCAAAAAGACGAGGAAACGTGAGGAACTAAATAACTTCGAATCATATCGGATGAATATCGTATGATGAATTTAGATTTTTGAGGCACCATATATATGCTTTCTTGGTAAATTTCGCATTGAAACCATATTTTCTGCATTTTTATACCCACCACTCAAGGATGGGGATATATTCGTTGCGTTGTTTTTGTTTTTCATTATGTATGTAACAAACCAAAAGGAAGCTTCAGAGAACCTATAAAGTATATATATATATTCTTGATCAAGGTGAAATTCTGAATTGATTAAGCCATGTCTATCCGTCTCTGCGTCGCGTGTGGTGATTGTTGTCGCCAATCTCTTGGTCGCAAAAACGAAAATGTCGACTTCAAATTTGGTAGCAACATTGAAAGATTTTGCAGCAAGTTCCTATTGAAAGTGGGTCAAATTGGTCAGAGCAGAAGCGCGCA